CCTCCCCCCGCCTCCTCCCCCCCCCCTCCCCAGGGGGCGGGGGCTCCACTCGGGGGCCCGCTGTGCACAGCCCCGTGTCATGAGCGTCGTCATCCTTCTGCCCATCCTGGGGGCCGCCCGCGACCTTCCTCTCTCTCCCTCGTGGGGAAGTTGTGTGGACCATTTATTTAGTCGCTTCTTTCTGCATTCTTCCTATAAGGGTAAAGGTCCATTTGGGATTTTTTTTCCTATTTATCAAGAAGGCTGGGGACTAAATCCCGACATTTTTATTATTTTTCCAGTCCTGAGGCTTGACCTCAGACCTGGGTGTTGTTCCCTGAGCAGCTTTTGCTCAAGGCTGGCGCTCTACCACTTGAGCCACAGCGCCACCTCCGACTTTTTCTGCTGACGTGGTCTGAGGAATGGAACCCAGGCCTGCATGTATTTGCTAGGCAAGCGCTCTACCACTAAGTCACCTTCCCAGCTCATGAATTTTTTTTCTTTTTTTTTTTTTGGTTGTTGGTCCGTCGTGGGGCTTGAACTCTGGGCCTGGGCACTGTTCCTCAGCTCTTCAGCTCAAGGCAAGCGCTCTACCACTTGAGCCACAGCGCCACTTCTGGTTTTCTAGTGGTTTATTGGAGATCAGAGTCTCACGGACTTTCCTGCCCGGGCTGGCTTTGAACTGTGATCCTCAGATCTCAGCCTTCTGAGTAGCTAGGATGACAGGCTTGAGCCACCAGCGCCCGGCTTTTATTCTTGTTTTTAATCTGAAATTCCTAGTGAATTATCTCTCCGCCCACGTCCCCACCTGCATTTGAACACATCACCCTGCATGGTGCACCTCATTTCTAGAAAGTTCTTGCTAAGCTTGGTTTCTGTGCTCTGGCCCGCTTTCCCCTCCCCACAGACCCCTTCGCTGATGCAACTAAGGGTGACGACTTGCTCCCCGCGGGCACCGAGGACTACATCCATATAAGAATCCAGCAGCGCAACGGGCGGAAGACGCTCACCACCGTGCAGGGCATCGCCGACGACTATGACAAGAAGAAGCTGGTGAAGGCCTTTAAAAAGGTACAGGAAGTGGGGCTGGGAAGGTAGCTCAGTGGCAGAGCGCTTGCCTTGCATGCATGAGGCCCTGGGTTCCATTCCTCAGCACCACATAATCAAAAAGAAAAAAAAAGCGAGAAGTGGCGCTGTGGCTCAAGTGGTAGAGCGTTAGCCTTGAGCTGAAGAGCTGAGGGACAGCGCCCAGGCCCAGAGTTCAGGCCCCACGACCGGACCCAAAAAACAAATAAATAAAAAGGTACAGGCAGAGCTGGGAAGCTGAGATCTGAAGATCCGGTTCAAAGCCAGCCTGGGCAGGAAAGGCCATGAGACTCTTGATTCCAATGATCCATCAGAAAATCAGAAGTGGTGCTGTGGCTCAGTTGGTAGAGCACTGGCCTTGAGCTGAAGAGCTCAAGGACAGCACCCAGGCCCAGAGTTCAAGACCCATGACCGACAAAAAAAAAAGCTCACAGATGGCACCCAGGCTCTGAATTGAAGCCCCAAACTTGGAAAAATAAATGGGAGGAGGAAGCTGGGCACCAGTGGCTCTTACCTGTTATCCCAGCCTCTCAGAAGGCTGAGAATCTGTTCAGAACCAGCCAGGGCAAGAAAGTGTGTGAGACTATTTATCCCCAGTGAGAACCGTTCAAAAGCTGCAAATGGTGGTCAAAGAGGTAGGGTGCTGGCCTTGAGCAAAAAGTAGCTTAGGGGCAGCACCCAGGCCCTGAGTTCAAGCCCAATACTAATAATAATAATTAAAGCCAGGTGGCGGTGGCTCACGCCTGTCATCCTAGCTACTCAGGAGGCTGAGCTCTGAGGATCACGGTTCAAAGCCAGCCCGTGCAGGACAAGTCTGTGAGACTCTGATCTCCAATAAACCACTAGGAAACCAGAAGTGGTGCTTTGGCTCAGGCGGTGGAGCGCTCGCCTTGAGCTAAGAGCGCAGGGACAGCGCCCAGGCCCAGAGTTCAAGCCCCACGCTCATCAACAACAAAAGTGACCAGGCCGCGCCAGCCCTCCACAGCGGCTGACATGCTGTTTGTGTTGTGTAGAAATTCGCCTGTAATGGCACTGTGATTGAGCACCCGGAGTACGGCGAGGTCATTCAGCTGCAAGGCGACCAGAGGAAGAACATCTGCCAGTTCCTCTTGGAGGTGAGTACCGCGACGCAGCCCTGAGGTTGCTCTTGGGAAGGATTTTCACTGCCAAGAGAGAGATCCTGGCAATGAAGCAAACAGGGAGCTGGACCTCATGTGCTTTGGGTGTTTCATCTGAAGACCGTAGATCGATCATGCATGCATGCGTGTGCGCGCATGCGCACATGTGTACATGTGTGCACTGTTCCTGGGGCTTGAACTCAAGGCCTGGATACCATCCCTGGACTTCATTTGCTCAAGCCTGGTGCTCTACCACTTGAACCCCGGCACCACTCCCAGCTTTCTCTGTATACATGGTCCTGAGGACTCGAACCCAGAACCTCATGCATGCTAGGCGAGTGCTCGACCCCCTGAGCCACCTTCCCAGCCCCACATTCCCGTTGCTCTGCAGGTTGGCATTGTGAAGGAGGAGCAGCTGAAGGTCCATGGCTTCTGAGCGCGCCTCCCCGCGTGAAGAAGCTCACGCGTGATTTTTCTTCCCCCTACCCTCCTACCCCCCACCCCGTGGCCGCCTTGTGACATGGCTCTCTGCAGGGAACGGACTTGTCCCTTTTGTCTTCACTCCACCCCCGGCTCCCCCCCTTGCGACCCCAGGGAGCCCGGGGCCAGGGGGCTCGTGACGCAGAAGAAGATCGCCGTGAGGTGGCCGCCGACCCCCGCGCATCTCGCCGTGTCTCCAGTGGAGAAGGTTTCGTTCTGAGTGTGCGCTCCGTTGATGTTCCGTTGATGGCTTTTCACTCGATTCCAATGTGGTGTTTTTCGTTGTTGTTGTTGTATTAAACCATGTATGTTGCGCTTAACAATAAAAGAGGCCTCCGACTCCTTCTCTGAGCCCCGCAGCCTGCGCACGGCGGCTGAGAATTCCACACGGCCTCTCCTCTCCCTCGCGGGAAGGTAGGAAGCTGCCGGCATGCTCTGAGTCACCCTAGCTGCTCCTGAACCCAGAAATCCACAGCTTTGCCGCGTATGCGTTCTTTTTTCCTTTACTTGATGGACGAAAACCAATATAGCAAGAAGCCTGGCACTGGCGGCTCACGCCTGGCATCCCAGCTACTCAGGAGGCTGAGATGTGGAGGATCACAGTTCAAGGCCAGCCCAGGGCAGGCAAAAAAAAAAGGAAAAATAAGAGCAAGAGTATATAGTCATCCCTCCACCGCCCTCCCCACGCCAGCAAGATGTTTGTTTACTCATTTATTTATTTGCTGGTCCTAGGGCTTGAACTCAGGGCCTGGGCGCTGTCCCTCAGCTTCTTTGTGCTCAAGGCTGGCGCTCTACCACCTGAGCCACAGTGGCAATTCCGGTTTCTGGTGGTTTACTTTCTGCCAAGGTTGGCTTTGAACCGAATTCCTCAGCTCTCAGCCTCCTAAGTAGCTGGGATGACAGGCGTGAGCCATGGCGCCTGGCCAAAGTGCTTTCCGTTCATATTTTACAAAACACTGGTTTTGAACTCGGTCCCTCTTGAGCCACGCCTCCAGCTGTGCTTTTGGCTGCTCCACTGGAAATAGAGTCTCAGCCAGACTGCTTGTATCTCAGTCCCAAACCAACCGGAGGCCCACCTTCTAAGATGCCTTTACACACGCACACACACCCCAGATAGTCATCTGGCTCCTCCAGAGGCTGAACTCTGAAGAACCTGGATCGAAGCCAGCCCTGGGCAGACACAGCGGAGGATTTGATGGTAAGTAACCACCAAAAAAGCCAGCAGTGGAGGCGTGGCTCCAGCGGTAGAGCACCTGCCTTGTGTGAAGAAACTCAGTGCTCAGGTTCTGAGTTCAAGTTGCACCACAGGTGCACGCAAGAGTGTGCGTGTCCACACATGCAAAGCCTACGCCCTGGTTTGTCAGGAAGAAGGAGCGAGGCTGGGGAGGTGTGACTTGCAGGACCAGGAAACCCTTGCTCATTGTTCTGCCTTCAGCCTTCCCCCCCCAGCCCCAGCCCCAGCCCCAGCCCTCCCATCCAGGAAATGCGAAACTCCCGATCAGCTTAGGGCGCTGGTGCCAATAGCCGGCCTCATGGCTTTAATTTACGGATGTTTATTTTGTTCCATCCTGGTATTGAACTTGGGAGGGCCTGGGTGCTGGCCCCCTGAGCTTTGGTGCTCAAGGCCAGTGCTCTACCACTTGAACCACAGCGCCACTTCCAGTTTTCTGGTGGTTCGTTGGAGATAAGTCTCATGAACTTTCCTGCTTAGGCTTTGAACTGGGATCCTCAGATCTCAGCCTCCTGAGTAGCTGGGATGGCGGGCCGGAGCCACCAGTGTCTGATTTGATTTGTCTTAGTAACAAAAAACAACTAGCTGTGTGCCCGGTGGCTCCCACCTGCCATCCTATAGCTACTCAGGAGGCTGAGATGTGAGGATCAGGGTTCAAAGCCAGCCCAGGCAGGAAAGTCTGTGAGACTCTTATCTCCAATGAACCACCAGAAACCCTGGAAGTAGAGCTGTGGTTCAAGTGGTAGAGCACTGGACTGGAGCATAAAAGTTCAAGGATAGCACCCAGGTCCTGAGTTCAAGTTCCAAAAAAAGAAAAACATGTTACGTATGTAACAGGAAGATGCATTATATTAATATATATTAATTATAAAAGTAGCGAAAATATTCATATACATATATTCCTAGCAAGTGAGTCAAGCGGGGGATTAAAATAATATGGATTCATTTCAGAAATGGGAAGATAGTCAACGCGAAAATACTCACTGTAATGTGGTGCATTAAAGAAAGTAAAGAGGGGGAAAAATCATTAGGTGGGAGGAAATCAGATTAACTTCCTTTTGTAACTGGTTTTTCTTTTTTTTTTTGCCAGTCTTGGGGCTTGAACTCAGGCCCTGGATGCTGTCCCTGAGCTGCTGGGTTTTTTTTTTGTTGTTGTTGTTCCAGGCTGGTGCTTTACCGCTTGAGCCACAGCGCCACCTCTGATTTTTGGTGGTTTCATTGGAGATGAGAGTCTTGTGTTCTTTCCTGCCCCCAGGCTGGCCTGGAACGCCGATCCTCGGGATCTCAGCCTCCTGAGATGTTGCTGAGAGAGATGATAGGCTCAGGCCCCGTGTGCGGTGAGTGGAGGTTTCTAGATGGAGTCTTGGATTACTGGCCTGTCGTATTTTGGTTTCTGGTCACAGTGGCAGCCTGGCATGTCTGGGTTCCATGGAGCCAGCCTGCATCCAGTCCAGTGCCCTGCCCAGGGAGACGTAAGTCCAGGGGGGAAACTGAGGCACAGGGGGGTCGGGGGCTGGCCTGCCCACAGCTTCATGACCCAGCCTTCACCTGGCATCCCAGCCACTGGGAGGCTGAGATCCGAAGGATCGCCATTCAAGGCCGGCCTGGGGGCAGGAAAGCCCCTGAGACTCTGATCTCCAGTTAAACAGCAGAAAGTCAGAAGGGCGGCATGGTGCAGGTGGTGCAGCGCCCGTTTTGAGCTGAAGAGCTGAGGGACAGTGCCCAGGCCCTGAGTTCAAGGCCCAGGGCTGGGGAGGATGGGGGGAGGGGAACCACAGACAAATGGATGAACAGATGGATGGATGGATGGATGGATGGACCGATGGATAGAACAAGTGAGCCCAGGATGGAATGGGGGACAAAGGAGGCCAGGCCCCTCTGTACCCCGGCCCCAGGGAAGCCGGGCTGTGGGGTGCAGGGCTGCTGCACCGTCCTGGCCTGAGGCCCCGCCCCGCCCCCTCTCCCCCCCCTCCCGGGAGCTGGCTGGGTGGCGGTGATGGCGGCAGGTGAAGGTCGGGTCTCAGGTGAGGGCCAGGGGCCAGGGCCCTGGGGCTGGGCTGGGCTGGGGGGGGGGACCTAGAGCCCTAGACACCAAAACACCCCTGAGTTCTGCACCCCAGCTTTTGAGATGGGCTGCTTGCAATGCTGGAGCCGCGGGGCGGAGGCTTCCATGTTAAAGGGACAGCAGCAGCCCATGGTGGGGAGGGAGAGGGGGTGTGTGTGTGTGTGTGTGTGTGTGTGTGTGTGTGTGTGTGTGTGTGTG